CCAACAAATTTGGTAGTTCTTTTCTTATCAGAACTCAGAGTTTTCCGAGCTGCCATACCTTTGTAATCACTATTAGATTCATCCAACTCTTTCTGAATCCACTACACTGTCCTCAGATTCACAGTTAAACACACCGAAATGTTTGTATTGGAGTTTCTGGTGCAAATGCCAAGCAGTATAGCATGTCATTTTCACATTTCTGGTTGAGTGAATTGCATCATGGGGCTCTTTTTTTTTCTCTCTCATAGACAGTGTCCAACTAACCCAACTATACTGTGCAGTCAACAAAATCAAAAACAAACAATACACATGCACAAAACTAAAAGTATAAAGTGTTGACAATTTACCTATCACACCCTGTACACACATAATAGCCAGCTACTTGTTTCTGAGCAGACCCATCTGCTAGATGGCTAGCCAATAACTGAATAAATTTCGGAATCAATAAGGGGAAAAAAAAAAAAATAAAAAGTCATTTTCATGTATTTGGTATGAAAAGTTTTCATCAAAATTCCAGTTTAAAAAAAAAAAAAAAAAAAAAAAAAAAAATGGTGGCAAATCTTGTACACATGTAATAAAAGTTGCAATACCAAAACATTCTATTTTGTACTTTTTTTTAAAGTTGAAATTTGAGATCAGATGATTTGGGAAACAATAATATCTGGTCAATAACTGATACGATAATGTAAAATGTTGCTACAGTTTTATTAATTAACAAAAAATATGACCATATATATGGAACAATAACACAAAGTAAATAATAGTTTAAAAATTGCGAACATGAATTTTAATCAAAGCACAGAAAGTTTCAGCACAATAAAATCAATTAGAAATATATGAAATAAAAAATATATATTTATATATTTGTCTTGAAAACAAATTGGAGATATATATATATATATATATATATATATATATATATATATATATATATATAGCTAAGCTTGGTATAGTCTGACACGAGGACAAAAGAGATGGAAGATTGTGGTGCTCCACTCTTGTCTTGAGAATCAGCATATGAAATGTTTGTTTGAACATTGACCACTGGCAAGGGGTGGAAAATATTCAACTATCTTGGTCACAAGGCAAGCATTACTAGTCTTATAGCAACCATAATGATTCCAATTGCCTGAAGCAGACATTTCTTGCGTTAGTTTTTTTGGCCCCCATTTAAAAAAAAAAAAAAAAAAAAAATAATATTAAAAGTAAAAATAAAAATTTCAATGAATTTAAGTAAAAAATAATGACATACATGTGTAAATACAACAGAAAAAAAGTTAATGTTAAGTGGCTAGCAACTGATCCAAAGATTTTATCCAAACAGCTATATACAAGTGTGTGTGTGTATATATATATATATATATATATATATATATATATATATATGAAATGAGAATGAATCAATTATAAATTCAAATGTTCACAACATTAATTTTAAAATAGTGCTCAATACAATAGCAGAGCAATATTTTTTATTATAGGATATTACATTCAAACATATGTAAAGCCACTACATAAATGCATTCATGTTTCGAGGCATATCATCGCATCTCATCAGATGGTAGATGCAGCGAAACATGAATGCATTTATGTAGTGGTTTTACATATGGTTGAATGTAATATCCTATAATATATATAACACATAATGCCCTACATTGAATACAACTCAGAGTTCCATGTTATTTTAACGCGCTAAGTTTCAACATAGGGCATTATGTATATTTTATAAGATATAAATAGCCCTATTATTTAACATCAAGCACTGTTTTTTTCTTACACTATTGCATTGTGTGTGTGTTATATATATATATATATATATATATATATATATATATATATATATATATATATATATATATATATTATAGATTGGGCATGTTTGGGTATCAATTTTCACTGAAACAAATTTGGTTAAAGGCCAACAAAAGTTTTTTTGGTTGAGGATTTTTTATTATTTTTTTTCTATATTTCAGAACATTTTCATGTTCCCATGTTTGTCACCTTAAATTTCCAAAAATGGACAGTCCTATGTTGCTTGCCTCCCACAACAAATGAGCTCCATCTACAGCACACCATGTGCTACACACCCTCACAGAGTCAGGAGAGTAATGGGAGAGAGAAAAAGGAACAAGTTACAAGTTGCCAACTAGGAATTATGAGTACTTTAAAAATTTGGGGGATAACAAAACACCCCATGTGACTAACTCAAGGTTAAATAAATCCTCAGGAAAAGACTTTCATTGGTCTTTAACCAAACTTGTGTGTATATATATATTATATATATATTATATATATATATAAAAAAGAGGGGAAAATTTATAAAATTTTATATAGAAAAATTAATGGCAATGGCAAAGTGGAAAATCTTTTTGTATGACATTTCATTCTTTAGGACTTCAAACTAAAGTGATGTTTCTGTTGATATAACTACACATGCACATGAAGGGGAGGGGACACTGAAATTTTAACATTTTAAATTTATTTTTTTTAATGGGTGTCTGAGCATATAGTCTAACCATTATTCTTTTATCATTATTATTAAGTATTCCACATTGTGATAAAAGCAAATAAAAAGAAACTAAACAAAATTAGATGAGATACCCAGACACATTTTTAAAAATTAAACTTAAATGTTTGAAATTTCAGTGTCCCCTCCCCTTCATGTATGTGTAGTTGCATCAATGAAAACATCACTTTAGTCCAATGAAGTCCTAAAGGATGAAATGCATTACAAAAATAAAATTTTTCCACTTTGTCATTAATTTTCCTGAGATTATATATGTGTGTGTGTGTGTGTGTGTGTGTGTGTGTACTTTGCATAATTGCACATAAGTCATTCTTGTGTAAAAGGTCACACCCAAAATTTTTAATTTAATATCAGTACATTTCTTTTGTCAATTTACATCTGAGATCACATTTTTTTTTTGGTCAAATCAAAAAATTTGCTTTAAAGTCCATGTGATAAAATGAGCCACCGTATTGAAAACAAGTAAGTTTTGTTTCTATTCTAGCTGTATAGATACCAATTTTAAAAAAATGTTGGTCACAACTTGTGTCCTTTAAAGCAAAAGAACAAGTTTATGAGATGCTAAAAGCACATAAAATGCCAAGACATAACAGATACATCTGATTCTTGGTAAAGAATCTCCCAAATAAAACATTTTTCATTGTACTTCAGAAAGATATATTTTAAGTGTGTGTGAACTTTGACATTACACACAGGACTAAACCTATTTTAAGATACTTTTTATAGAAGAATTGCATCTGAAACAACAGAATCAAACTTTTAAGTCAATTCTACAATGACATTCAAAGGATCGTCAGAATTAAATATTTTTCTTCATCAATGCAATCCTATTAAATTTCAAATTTATAGGATTAAAGAAATATACTTTTAAGAATCTTTAAGGACAATTAGAAAAGAAGTTGATGATGCTCAACTCTAACAACAGGTTGTATTCTGAAGCAGTTGTTCAATGTGGCTGCTTTTCTCAAAAAAAAAAAAAAAAAAAAATCTCAATTTTCAAAGTCCTAGCAAGCAAAAATTTGAAACATAAGAGCCCTATTCTGTCAGCAAGGCTTGCCTTAATTCCTGACCACCAATAATTCCTTTCTTCCTCATTTTCAATGTATTTCTATTTATGAATTATTTCCAGAGTATATTGCCTGTCTTCTATTGCCAGAATTTGTCTCGTTCCTCAAGAAGTAATCTTTAAATTGTATGAAACTTTTGACAAAATAAATAAACCCTACCCATAATATCATGGCTTACATAAGCCTCTAGTGATTAATGCCTTTTTACATAATGAAATTAATTCTCACCCCATTTCTTTTTTTCTCACATTTTTATATACTATTTTCCAAGCTACAGAAATACAGATCCAGATTGTTTAGACTGCTTCAAAATGCAAACTGACTAGTCAACTGACCAAAATACTAAAAACTGATTGGCTCATAAATGATAAGACATTTGCTTAATCTGGCATGAGGAAAAGGAAGACAGGAAGTGATTTTTTGAAGCATCCCTCTATGAAAAGAGAGTTTACTCTTAAAATCAGCATTAGAAATCCTGGCTTTTCTCTGGTCTGGAACACCAGCCACTGGCTCTGGTAAAGGAAAATGCATCTTCCTCAGTTACTAGGCAGAATACAAGTTCTTTATATTTTTTTTTTTTTATTGTTTGTTTGGTTGAGAGGAAAGAAAAACTGAATGTTGTAACTCACTTTATTTTATTCAGTATTAATGGCGGTAGCTAACTTGTAACGTTGGTTAGGAAAAGGCACTTTTGGGCTTTCATCTTTTACTTTCAGAGAATTGCTTTTATTATACAGACAGAAAAATAGAGATTCTTTTACAAGTGTCTATTTCCAGATATATTAACTGTAAATAGGCATTTTTTTTTTTTTTTTTTTTTTACAAAATATCATATTTTTGTGACTTTTTTTTTTTTTAGGATTTCATGAAGAGCACAAGTGTCAGGAGAAACTGAAAGTCTTGCCTAAACGAATTCAACCAGCTGTCACCCCCTCCCATTAATAATACCCATAAAGCTGACAGTAATTTTATCAATGAGCTTGTTAAACAAGTCATGTGTCTTTGTTGTTGATTGGGGGGCGGGGGGGGGAAATCAACATGAATCAGTTGTTAGATTACAAACCTAAAAAGTGATGCTTGCTAACTTTGAATTTTTTCCAGAACCAGGAGGTTACTAGCAGAAAGCAGTTGCTACCATAAAATATTCAAAAATGCTCAATGGTGGGATATGAAAAAAAAAAAAAAAAAAAAAAAAAAAAAAAATAAATAGCAACTGTTAGCCTGCTGGAAACAGGGTAAATTTTTTAGACTTCATTTTGTGTAAAAAAAAAAAAAAAAAAAAATATATTAGTATCTTCGATGTTGGGAAATACAGTGTGTGAGTGTGTGCAAGAGAGAGAGAAGTTGAATTTTAACCCAGTCATCATGAATCAATATGATGATCTGGTACAGTAAACCTACATTGGTCATGCAGTGTGAAGTATGAATTCTTTTTGATCAGCAATTATATGCTTTGAACAAGACTGTCCTTTTGTTAGCTCATTTGTAGCCACAGACATGATAGCTTCCACTTTGAGCCAACTGGAACTGAAGCAGAAAATGGGGTTGGGAAGAAGAGAATTTGTTTTTTTTTTTATATTAGAAAAATGAATTGGTTTGTCCCCGTAATTCTAACTCTATCCTTTTCATTTTCATTTCATAATATTTTGTTTGCATCAAGATACGTTTCTTGTCAGCCAGAAGGACTTCATACTGAAGTTGTAAAAGATCTGCCTGTGTGATGCCCCCAGAGGTAGTACCTCGATTTGAAGGTTTGACATGAGACACACCTGGCCCAACTGAATTGTCCTGATTAAGATGAGTTAGCGATGGTCCCCCAGTAACAAGAGGATGGGACCGAACAACAAATGAGTTTGATGAAAGGGAAGCCAAAGTGTCAGGTATAGAATTGTTCAGGACAAGTGATGAAGAAACTGCGTTGCCATTTGATTTTTCAGATGGACCATGAGTGTTATATGACCGTTGTGATGTCAGAGATGATGGGACACGAATATTGTTTGAAGACATAGAAACATTTGACAAAGAGTGTAACTTGGATGAAGAAACTTGTGGTGCTACCTGGAGACGTGAAGACCAATGCTGTGTCTGTGGAGTGGTGTAAACTGAAGAATTGTCTTCAGGTGTGGATACCAGATTTGTATTGAATTTGTGTGAGGAGAAACCATAGCTGCCAACAGCATTTCTAGAAGTAGAAGAAGTGTCACAGCCTATTGAGGGTGTTACTAATTCCAGTGGGGTTCTGTCCGCTAAATCGCCTTCTGCTGGTTCATTCTGTGCAGTAGATATTATTAAATCATCATTCTTTAGGACAGGGTCTGGAATCTCTTCCTTTATAACTGAAAAAATTAAAACAAAAAATTACAACAGAATAACCACAACAAATATTGGTCAAAATAAATAAATAATAATAATTTTTTATGCAAAATTTTTTTTTTTTTTTTGTCAGTGGAATGTGTCATGATGCCATTTCTAACCGTAGGTCTCTGGGCAGAACACAGAAAGAAATGTGTACACGCCAGAGATAAAAACAATAATAATAATGGCCAGTGGTTCATCTCTGAGCACACTCATCTTCTAGGCTAGTTAGCCAATCCCTGTTGCAGATGCCTGCTCAGGTACATTTATGTTTGGTCTACAGCCACAGAACCTACCTGTGACTTATACTGCAACTATGCTAAGCAGAACTTCATTACAGTTTCTTCGAGAGAGAGCACATCATTTGGAATGATCAACAGTTTGACCACCACCAACACACTTAAACCCACAGTCATGATGACTGATTTACACTCATGTTAGCACAACCATTGACGACTCCAAAATAGTTCCACCTACCCAATTTCACTCACAAGGCTTAGGTCAACTCGTGGTATGATTTGAGGGCATTTCCCAATGGTAACACATGCTTGGATTGCCCTAAAAGAAGTGACCTCTCTGACAACTGACTGTAGTGAGATTTGAACTCCAGTCTCATTGTCAGAAAGTGAATGTTCTAACCACTCAGCCTTGCACTCATATGCATAATAGTGTTTTGCAGTTTTTTTATACCACATTCCTTTATGATTTAGGCGATCATGGCTCTCCACAGCTTCCTTCATTATGAGTTGCCATGACTTTTTGGGTAAGATATTGGAGTGGTTTTCCATTGTCTTCTCCAGTTTTGAATTTTGAGTAGTCCTTCACCTAGGCTACCTACTACTCAAAACTAGAGAACCCGGTCTACCCTGCTATTTATGTCACAGCTAGAAATAGATTCATCCGTTTTCTACGAGCATTAGTGCAAAATGAATACAACAGAAAAAACCTAAACACAGCTTGCTTATTCTACTTCCTGCATTGATAACCATCATGATAACTTCACATCTTTTAGATTTTAGTGTTTGTAAAGAAAAAAAATTTTAAAATCCATATTAAAATCAAGATTTAATGAAATGAATGGATTCAAATTATAGCAAACACATTATTAAAACTTTGTTAATTTCAGCAAAATAAAAAATCTTTTTATTAAAAATTATTAATAAGATACAATATCCCTGCCAAGTGGATAACAACTTAAAGTAAAATTTAATTAACTTAAAGATAAAGATTACACTGCATTAAAAACATATCAAATTATTAATCTGCAACATTTCAGCTTCTAATTGTATAGTTATTAAAAATTATATACACTTCAAGTAACACACTTTAGAACTGAACCAAGCATTTTTCAGATTACATGCATTTTGTGTCTACTATTGTCCTCACATTTTTTTTTAATTTTATTTTTTCTGTTTAACAGCGTATCAACTCCTTATGGGTCATTTAAAGCTGAAATTTAATTTTCTTGGGAGCTTAGAAGTAATAAAAATATATACGTTATTCTGTTTTCACAATTGAAAACTTGGTAGATGATACTCAGATTTTGTGTATATACCTGTTTATGTGGATGTGATTACTAGAGTCAGTTATATGTGTGTGTTTTGTGTTGTAGATTTGTCAAAGTTATATTTTGGAATACCATTTAAGAAATTGTAGGATATTATATCGCTTAATGTTTGGTAGAATTTTAAACAGATTTAGGTGAAGTCATTATAATTTATTAGTATGTGTGTATTGTTGATCATTTTTTTTTTAATATAAAAACATATTGCTGGTATTTTTATATTATGATAGTGTTTATTTTGGGGAGGGAGGGGCACTATTAATTCATATCTAAGACCTTTTACAGGTGCTACCACCCCAGGTCAGGGTAGACCTGGGAACAACAGCAATTAAGTGGTTCCACGCTCCTCAAAATCTCCAATCTCCCAATCAGAGGCCTTGCATGTCCTCACATGGGACTTAAATAAAAAGGACAACATATCAAGTAAGAGAGTCCATGCAATCCACATGTAAACACGAGTAGCAGCCAGATGTAACAGTTCGAGTTGAAGCTATTAAGAAATCTTGTGTTTTGTCTAATCACTGTCATATGAAAATTTCTTCATTAGAAAAACTGGACTAAAAACAAATTTTGTAAACCACCACAACTATTTCTGGAAAATGAAAATATGGGATTTAAAATTTATCTGCTTTCTTTACCTTTTTTTCATTGTAGATGAGTTCAATAGTTTTACAAAGCCAAATTTTCATATCCCCAACCTTCTACCAATTATTTACTGGTTACAGGAAAAAAGAATCTTAAAATCATAACCCTCATCCTAAAAAGGATATCACCAAATATGTCATGCTACATAAATTCTTTTAGGTTTTTCTTAAAAAAAAAAAAATTTTAAAGAATTTACGTGGTAGGACATATCTGGCAATAATAGATTTAAAAAAAATGTATGTATTCATATTTTTAAATAAAATAACACACACACACACGAAAATATCAGTGCAGAAATGGGGTTGGCACACCAAGTTCAAATCCCAGCTGAAGCAGTTTCACTTACTCTTGCACAAACACCCTTAGCAAAGGTATGATGAATCCATCTCTGCTCCCTCAAGCTATAGGTTAATAAAAGGAGGGCAGACTGAGCTCTCTAGTCTTGATTAACAATCAATCTGAGAGAAGAACAACTCTGAATTCAAATCTGGTTGTGGGTGTGGTTAGCAACACCACCCCATAAAAAAAAACTACTTGTTACGGAAACCACTGCTACATTGCTTAGAATGGCGAGGTTCTAAAGACCTATGCTCCATCGGGGCATCTAGAAGATGAGTAAAAGAACACTGAACTCCTAACTTTAAATCAATTCCTCTTTCCCTAAATTACGATAGTCTCTAATTAAACATTTTCTTGCTTAAGGTGGGGAGAGGATGTTCAATTAGCAAAAAAATTTAGCGGGTGGGTGATTTTCGATTGTCTACTACTTCGGAGGAGGCGGGGGCAGTTAAAATGATAAACAAAAAAAAAAAAAATATTAAAAAACAGTTCTAGTTTCAAAATGACGTTTTTTTCGCAAATGCGACAGTTTTTTACTTTTTCTTTTTTACAGAGTAGAGGTGTTTTAGTTAAATTCGTCCCGAGAAGGTTTTTCGCACTGGTTGTTAAAAAAAAAAAAAAAACCCTGTGACAAATCTACAGATTTTTCACTAGTTTCCCATGAATTCCTCAGATTGGAACAAAATGTTGAAATATTTTTATTCGGAGTTTGTCCCATTTTTAAGTCATTGGAAATATGGAGAAAAAATTCCTTAATTTGATAGAAACTCTTTTATTCCTTCTTTAATAATAACGTAAAAATTAATTTTTAAATACGCATCTAACACAGAGATAATGTTTCGTTTTTTACTTTTGTTTAATAAAAAAGAACTTTTCAATAGTAATTCTAATTTAAATTAGTAATTTATATATTTAATAAACTATTTTATTTTTTAAATGTAAAAAAAAAAAAAATGAATCACTTTCACAAAAAAAAAAAACAATAATACTCGAATTCAGATTCATACACAAAAAAAAGAATCTAATTCTAATTTTTTAGTTTTTTATAAGTTTAAAAAATTTAAAGTCGCAAATGTTTTCACAATTTTACTAGATTTTTAAAAAAAATTATTCAATATCTCTTACTGTGAAATATTTACGAGAAAATTCCGCTTTAAGTGGTCGACTTGTTTAATTTGTCTGACAATAGGGTGGTTAAAAAAAGAGAAAAAGTATTTTTACTTGCTTCAAGTCCTACTACTTGTCGATTTTACTACTATTGCTTCTACACAGCAACCAACCATTTGAAAATAGATAAAAATAATAAACACTATCGAAAAAAACTGCTTAAATTTTTATAAAATTTATTACAAATTCATTTGATTTAAGGAAGCTTTGTTTTTTTTTCCCCTTTTTAAAAAAACATCACACTCAGCTGATGAAGAAAAAAAAACTAAAAGGATTCCCCAATTCCTTACTCGTCAGTAAATTAAGATTAAGAATAAGATCTTTAAAAAATATGAACAGAACTAGATGATGATGATAATGATAATAATAAATAACTGGAATATAAAAGATTACGAGAGTCCAGGGGTCATTTACAAAAGATTTTTTTTTTTTTTAATATATTAAAAAACAAAACTTCAAGTTATTTTTTCATGCATGACTGTTTTTTAGTTTATTTCCATTTTTCGTGTAAAAAGTGGATTTTTTAAAAAAAAAAATTACAATCGTTAAAAACCATATGGGACGATAAAAAGAAAGATAAAAGGAAAAATAAACAAAAACAAACTACATTCCATCCACGAGTAATTGAACCTAACCACCTTTGGTAATCTCCCACCCCCCACAAAAAAACACATACTTACCAATGGTAAGGTGATTGTCTACGTCAGCCCCGTTGCTATCGTTATTAACGTGAAGACTACTGTTTATAGAAGGTTTATCGTCAGTACGATGGTTAGAACCAACCTGCACTGAACCATTTTCTGAGCTGATGGCAACACTGTGGTTATCGTCGACCATACTACTCGTTGAAGAAGAGGCTGCCACTGTGGCCAAAGTTTCAACAGTATCAACCAGGGGTTTCTCCACCATCCTGACTCTGGAGTTCGACCCTGAATTCGAAGAAGGTACTTGGTCTTCCAAACTGTCCAAACTGAGATTCCTTTCGGCGATAATACGGCGGGCCTTCCTTTGCATGTTCCTCCATTTCTCTTTAACTTCACTTACTCGCCGCCTGTTTACACCGACTGCGTTGATGGACTCAGTAATCCGTTCCCAGATTCTTTGCTTCTTTTGATTGGTAATCGAATTGGTCAATCTCGAATTTAAGATCAGCATGTGCTTCTTGTATTCCTCAGTTAGGATGGCAACTTCCCTTTCCGAGAAATTCCTCTTTTTTGATCTCTTTTTCAACAAAAACCTGTAGTCAGTCATGTTCGAATTACATTGAGTCGCCAGTCGAAGTGCATGCTGGGACAACGGCGGGTAAGCCCGTCTTTATTACCGCGCGTTTAATTTTACCACTGTTTTCCCAAAACGGCACCGGACGCTTAACTACGAATCACTTCTTCTTGATTTCACTTCTCTACTCTATGTAAACTTGCGCTGTTGGTGCTTATAGAAAGCGTAAACACTTGCTGGAAAACCGACTTTCTGTGTTACCGTTTTAATGTGTAATTAACCATTGTTAATGGGGCAAACATTATGATTTCTACCGTGTTTGGCAGTGACATGTTCAGCTAGGATTATCCCCCTTTAATTACTATAGAAACACATCAGGAAAAGTATTTTAAGATGATTGTCAGGAGTTTCCTTTTTACTGGATAAAAAGCAAAAACGATTTCTAAGGAATGTAGACAATATATAAAATAAAATATCTGAAAGAAAAAAAACAACAAAATTAAAATGTTTCTTTTAATTTGTTTCTATTAATATGTATCTCTCTCTCTCTATCTCTCTCTATCTCTCTCTCTCTCTCTCTCTCTCTCTATCTCTCTCTCTCTCTCTCTCTCTCTCTCGTTCTTTCTATGTTTTAAAAATTAAAATAGGATAAGATTTAAAATTTTGACAATTGGAAACATTCATAAAAATAGATTTGTTTAGAAGGCTTCCTCAGATGTAAAAACAAAAGAATGAAATATGTGTATTTTAATTTGTGTGTATGTGTGTGTGTGTATGTATGTATATATATATATATATATATGTGTAATAATACCAAATTCGCTTTCTCTCTCTCTCTCTCTCTCTCTCTCTCTCTATATATATATATATATATATATATATATATATATATATATATATACACATGCACACATATATGTGTGTGCATGTAAAATAGATTAGTTAATAAAACAAGGAGAAACGAAAGGGTATCAATATAATCAGTATGAAAAACATTAAATATTAATTATTAACCATATGACAGAAATGAAGAATGGAGAGAATGGTTTTAAGTTCGGAATATTCAGACACACCTGTGTCCTTCATCAACAGACCAAGGAATAAACAAAAAAATGGGAATTACTCACCAACAGATGTTTTTGTAGAGGGGGGGGTATATTCCAGTGGAAGTTGTATTGTTAGCAAAAATATGATCTGTGTCTGATTCCTCAGTATGTGAAACTTTATATGAAAATAAACTTAAATTTAAAATTTTGATCAGTGTAAAAAGCATTAGGCAGGTTTATCATTACTAGTGAGGGAAGTGAAATTGTAAACAAAGATGAAGAGAGTTATAGTTTGGGGACACAAATAAAAATAATATTTTACTTTTGAGTAGAATAGATATGAATAGATTTGAATTTATAGAATTTTTGAGATATAGATATATGGATAGATAGTTTTTCTAATGGTCTTATAGTTTTACTTTTTGTGGGACAGCTAAGAGAGTAGAGAAAACTGTATCTAAAGATAATTGTCCCAAACACTTTTAAGCAATATATTAGCCATTTTCAAAGGATTCATTGTTAATACATTTTCAATGTTTGTGTCCAAAGATGTATGGTGTAGAAGTAGTAGTTAAATAAGGTAAACTTTAGGCTTGTCTAGATAGATAGATAGATAGATAGATAGATAGATATGAACAGACTGAGATAGATAGATAGATAGATAGATAGATAGATAGATAGAACAGATGAACAGACTGAGATAGATAGATAGATAGATAGAACAGATAGATAGATAGATAGATAGATGAACAGAGATGAGATAGATAGATAGATAGATAGATAGATAGATAGATAGATAGATAGATAGATATGAACAGACTGAGATAGATAGATAGATAGATAGATAGATAGATATGAACAGACTGAGATAGATAGATAGATAGATAGATAGATAGATAGATAGATAGATACTAGCTATCTAATTTAGGTACTACCAAAAATGGATACTTTTTTTCCAAAATAAAAGAAAAAACATTACTCCTGTTTTTAAAAGTTTACCAAAAATCATGGAATTATCTGATTTAAATGAAATTTTCAGAATTTATTCATTAATGAATTAATACTGAATAGGTTATTTTATTAGAAAACCTTGTAAAAATATTTGGTGATGGTCCCTTAGCTTCCCCATTTTGATACATTGTGAATACTTTCAAAATTGGAGGGGGGTGGGGATAATGACAAATATTTTTTTATAATTCTAAAATGAAAATTCCTTGAAGATATTTTTTCAGCCAAAAAAAATTGCAATATAAAATCAGAAAATCTTGAAAATTTGTTCTGAAATCTCACAAAAATAATTCAATAAAACTCAAGAAATAATTTTTGTTGGGAGTTGGAGATTGCATACATTAATTTATTTCAAATTTAACAGGAAAAATTCTACAATGAAAAATTTACTTGTAGTTTTTCAATGCAATTTTGAAATTCTTCCTATTGCTGATGGCAAAAGAGATTTTTTTTATTAAATAATGACATATTTAAAGAATCAGAAAATGTAAAGTTTGATGCCATTTTTGCATCAGAAATATTTTAAATAGAATTTTATTTTATTTATTATTTTCATAAATGTTAAATTTTTTGTATGGGTGTTTATATAGAAAAAAATTCTGTTTCACCTCTGTCTCAGGGAATTGATGTCTTATTCAGTATTGGATTTTATCAGTTCACCTCTTTTTTTAGCATTTCTTTTAGTGTAATGTATTTCAAAATCAGAATAATTATAAAGAACTCATTGAGTGCAGTTAAATATTTTGTGACGTCAAACAGGGAAGAAAATAATAAAAAATAAAAGCCATGAATTAAACTTAGAAGTATCATTTAAATAGTTTTTAATTAATTTATTTGCTATACTTTTAATGTAGTCTAAAAATAAAATTATTAATTCTATTAAGTTTCATAAAAGCGTCAGGATAAAAAAATTATATTCTTAAACTACTGGTCATATAAGATTAAAGATAATTTATTTTTAAACATAAACAATAGCAATTTCTTGAATATTGCACTACTGGTGTTCCATATTTCTTTAATTTTTTTTTCACAGATGACAGTAGAAAACAAGTGTTGTTAACAGATATCATCACAAGCTACCATACATGAAGAATTATTATTTTCATGATGCTTTAAGCAAAATTTAAGCATTACTTTTACAAAATCCAGTTAATCCTTAAATTTACTAATTTTATTTGAAACAAATCTCAAAGACAAATACTGGATTTTTGAGAAATTTTTAAATTTGTTTCCATTTTTTGGCAATGGTTCAATAAGGGATGAGTGAACCTGAGAATGGTTTAAAATGTTTAAAAACCTTACATATGGAAATTAATTTTTACTTTCATACAAATTACTTTTAGGCTATTATTTTTCAAATAAAACCAAAATTCTACTAAAAAGCAAGCATTTAAATTATTTTAAAAGCATTTTTTGTATTGTTTTAGCTCAAATTTTGGCAGTACCTATAATAGATAGATAGATACATACATATATACATACATACATACATACATATGTAGGAAAATTGTTATTATTATAAATAAAAATAAAATATAAAATAATAATAATAATAATAATGAAAATTATAAATAAAATTTTAAAAAAATTTAAACCTTGTTTAAGATAAATTAAATAAATAAAAAAAAATAATAAAATTACTACCAGCATGCGACAGGGACTGTTCCTGCCGGAAGTACAAACTTCCTGCCAAAAGATGTGAGATTCAATCTCTTTGCCCAAGAACTGTCGGGATAACAACACATGTGTAACTTCCCTCTGTAATAGGACTTGTGATATTATGGAGTGACTTACTCTCTTTTATAACATGAACATCATCACAATTGTAATGTAAAATACACACACAAATACATAAATAAAATTGTATGAAATTACCATACAATTTACCATGTTTTTTTATAGTTATTGTATGCAGTTGTTTGTTCTGTTTTCCTTGTGAACACAAAGCCCAAATTTATGACTCCTATGGTGTGAGTGAATACCTCACCACAAATAAGGGTGACCACTGATGTGTACAAGAAAAACAAACGAATATATCACAAAATTATGCATAATGGCTCTCAATTCAGTAAACAAGTATAACCATGGCTGACAAGTTTTCAGCTGCCATGAGCACAACAATGGCTCTTGAAGTCAGCATGTGACTTGCAATGCTTATTACAGATGTGGCAAACTCAGTTGTTTTGTACAAGGCCTGGCCAATTTTGTAAAGTCTGTTCAGCTTGCTCATGGGTTTTCATGTGATGGGTGAGACCAGAACAGCTCCTGCATGCTTTCTGATATACACAGCATGTTATTTTAAGACATTTTATGTTTATACATTCTTTTTATAGATACAAATATTTAAGTAAATGCTCTGTTTATAATAAACAGTATTTGTAAGTAAATATTTGTATCTATAAAATTTTTTATTTTTGTATCTATATATTTGTATCTGCCGGAGGACAAATATTTTCTGTGAAAATTTCTCGGACATTCAAGGCAGTAAATGTTGTTTAACACTGTTTATTATAAACAGAGCATTTACTTAAATATTTGTATCTATAAAAAGAATGTATAAACATAAAATGTCTTAAAATAATTGTCGGACTTTGTCCATTTCATAATGTGTGACAGCATGTTATGTTATTTCCAGCA